TCCTTTTAGCATGGAGCATTATGTGGCTGCGGTTTTGCAAAGTGTCAACAAGGCAATTTCATAGTAAACTGTAAGTGGTTTAACTAAAATGACAGTAAAATATGTGTTGTAAGCTGTTTACACTCAGAGCAATATGCCTGTTTGCTGAATGTTTTCATTTTTGGCCAAGAAACATGCACAGGACATGTTGAGACAAAGTTGGACATTTTTGTCCATAATCATCTTCTATGACTTTTCTGTGACCTTTCAAAACATTTCAAGAAGTCTGTAAAAATCAAAATAATAAAAAATAATTCAATTTATAACACATTACATTTAAGCAAAAGCAGATTCTTCATAATGGGACTAATTAGTTTTCTGTTCAAATTGTTGTAATATGTCTTTTCTATGACTCTTTCATGGCAGTTCATCTGTTAATAGTTAAAAGTTCCCACAGTCATTGGCTTGTTTTACTGCTGTGGACTTTGCTGCACTTTAATGTCTATTGTTGTTTGGGTAACTCTAATTGGCTTTTATGTATGATTATTTTCAGATTCAACTGTACTGTCATTATACTTGTACAAGACAAGTGCAGTGCAATGAAACACTGTTTGGCATCGAACCAGAGCGCAACTAAGCCAGTACTAGATAAAAATTTACATACAACAGGAATATTATGTAACTGCTGACTGCACCAGAACTGCCCTTGGGCGATGAAATAAAGAATCCAAACTAATCTAAAAACACTATAGCTTACATAACTATAGCCTCACTTACCACAGGGTCATACTCCCAGAGCTGGTTTCCTTTCAGGTGATGGCACTTGAGCATCATGACAGGTCCGTTGAGTTTGGACACATCCAGACACAGGTCGTCTGTTCGAATCTCTTTGTTTGCGGTGTAAGAAAACACCTGGGGGAAACAAGAATGAAGTCTCTCTACATAAATTGTACATCTGAATAATAACACAAAAATTATAATTCTATGATTAAAAATAGGAAAAAAAGAAAAAGGCAAATTAAATGTATGCAAATATATTTAGTTTGTTTGTACCTGGTTGCCTCCCATGCCGTGGCAATTGAAAATGCCCACTTTCTCATTCTCTTTGCGGGCCATGTTGTCTAGGCACTGGTTGGTCTCAACATTACGGATCTGCTCAAAACAAAACAGAACAAAACACAGATAAAAGAGATTTAAACATTAAACAAAGGCAGACACTTAAAAGCTTTTCCATTCAAACTTGTAAATCTCCAGTCCAGTTTGTGTAATGTTTGGGTTTTGTGAGGAGCTGGCATACCTCTCCCAGGGAGTAGTAGTGTCTGGGGATCTGGGAGTCTGGGTACACGTTCTCTAAGTACCAGCTGAAGGGTTTACACTTGAGCTTCTGTCTCAAGGTGCTGCGAGACGTGATGTCACCGTAGTCCACTTTGGTCACACCTGACACATATCAAACACATGAGCATCTCTGTGCACACAAACACAGTATCCATGCACATTTCTCCTCTAAACATTTGAGTTTATACTACAGAATACAATGACGTTACACCCAAACAATAAGCAAAATATATTTCATGTTTGATCAGCTAAAGACAAGAGGTTTATGTTCCACAGTCTGGCGTTAAACCATCTTGTATGTATTCAGTTACAGGTGTTTTCATTGCTAAGAAACAATCTGAAAACATGTATTCTTAGTGTTGTTGTAGTAAGTTTAATGCTGTACTATTGGAGACAAGTAGGTGATGAACCCTCCACCAAAAAAGATACATACTGCAACTTTAAAAAGGAGGTATTGTACTTTTACGGGGTATCCTTTGTTAACACATAACACATTTGGGTGACAATGTTACCATTTGTTTGTTTGAAAATTGTTCGTAACAAGCATTCTGATAAGCTGATGACATAGGCATTAAGGCAGCGTGATGCAGCAGTGGTAGGAGAGTAAATTTAGGCAGATATATTTGGCCAAAAAATGACTTAGGCAATTATGCTATTAGGCTAAAGAAATGTTATATTCACTTAAAACAACCTATTAAAGGGCCCATCTCATGCAAAATCAACTTTTCAGAGCTTTCTACCTTCTAAGAGTGATGTGTGGGCCTTGTATATGTCGCCAAAGTGTTTTTTAGATTGATTCTGCATTTTTTTAACAAATTGGAGTGTATTTCTGCCACCCTCCCACGTGACAACAAACTAAAGCTGCTACAACAATGACGCGGCAGCTACACTTATGATGCGTTTGACATAGCAGAAAGCGCTTCGCACCCGCCCCCCTCCCCCGCTCCATCGCCTCCACCCCACATCGGCTGACAATTCCCACATGAACAAAAGCGACAGCATAAGCTCATTGTTCTACACTGCAGTGTGCACGATATAATAAGTTTATCTACTAGCGTTTATTAATACTTTAACACTCAGTAATGTTCAGCTGATGCCGACGCAGTGCTTGCTCTTCGTGCACCTCAAACCTCGTCTGATTCCGGGTCCAACACATGCGGCTGAACACACTGTATCGCCATGATGAATAAAAGTTTATTCCTACCGCTATCAGGGTGCACGCCTGTCTAACCCTCCCTCCCTGAGACGGGTGGAGGAAGGGCGGCTCACTCAGAGCCTATGTCACGTTTAGAGGGCAGAGCCTGTGCTTTCTCAGGACGGGCGGGGGGATGAGCAATAGTGGGTCTTTCATAGTTCCTGGTCTGTGATGCCTCCAAGAAATCAGTAAGATTTTCTAACTGTGAACTTTCATAACTATGTGTAATGGATGTTCCAAAACCCAAATTGTGCTTGTAAATGTGCATAAGATACAATGTGAAAGAATTATTTTGCATGAGATGGGCCCTTTAACATGTTAAATAAGTTGTACATTTGTTTTTGCTCCCAAGTCATTCCCTAAGAGCACTATGACATTAAAATTTGCATGACTTGTAGTTGTAGCGCATTGTTTTGTATCCTGTTTTTGTACATTCATAGCGAACTGCCGCGCAAGATCATGGGTGACGTAGGCGTGTGGGCAGTATTGGACAGAATCGTAACTAACCATAAGGAGGATTTGAAAAGTGGCCAGGATAATAAACGTTAGATTACTCAAACATGCATCACATCAGGGAACAACATTATAGAAAGCTCTGAAAAATTGATTTTGTATTAGGAGGACATGAATGGATAAAAAACAATAACAAAACATCATTGTGTGACATCAGCAGGTGGAGCAGGGTATTTTGAGTGACCTCTGGACTCTATGCAGTGTTGGGTTCTAAATGTTTAGCTTCAGTTTGGCTCCAGCTCTGTGTTTATTGATGTGCCACATAAGCTGAACGCTGTTGTCAGAGTGAGCAGACTGATAAATGCCTTGTAGCGTGAAATGACTGTGCTCCCCCCGCTGTGCACTGTTACTCTCTACTTCATATCTGTCACACAGTTAATAGATAGATCACTTTAGCAGACATTAACCTCCAAATGCTATGGGCACTTAACTGCACCTTTAAACACTCACATACACACAGACATATGTGATTTAAGCCTGAGTCAGTGAGTAATTCATCTGTCATTTCGGTTTTATCAGTTGCTTTTCCTGACTGATGGGCTATGTTTTTATCTTCATTCTTTTCTGCTTAGGAGACAAAATCTTTAAATCTTGCAATGATTGACATTTATAACCAGAATCCCTGATCAATATCTGTAAAACAAATCATTTATTCTTTCCCATTAGTATAATTTAGTTTCTGTTTTTGTTACTGTAAATCGACTTCTTTCAAACTGTTGCAAAACCATCCTGTGCTAAGAATTATATAAAGGTAGACATTTAAAGCTCGTCTCTTCCATAACCTTTAAAGATGCACTATGTAAATGTTCTGATAGTGGATCCGCCTCTTGCTGATGTTATCCTTTGCCTGGAATCATTCACAGTACGGCTACGGCATTAAAATGATCTGTCTCCATGGAAACTAGCAGGTGAGACCATCAGGCGAATTTACAGGTCAGATCTGAGGAAAGGATCTTGAGTAAAACAATCAAATAGTAATGTATACTGTATAAGCTAAACCAGTGTTTCCCAAACTTTTTTTTCTAGGGACCCATATTTTAAAAGTCACAAATCTTCACGACCCAGGTCAATAGACATTATTCGTAAATCACAAAATAAATTTGCAACCATTATTGAACATTAATGAGGATATTTTATTGTTGACTGAGTGATTGTGTCTCTGAACAATCTGTTTTACTGTATTTTTCGGATTATAAGGCGCAATATTAGTAATCTTGAATTCCCTCGTCTATTTTCATACATAAAGTCCACCGGATTATAAGGCGCATTAAGCGAAACAAATGGATGACACTTGACACTTGAGACTTTTTTATTTCCTACGAGGAGGGCTCAAATATAGATTGAGTAATAATTTGTTTAATGCAGCTTTGCGCGCATTTGTTTACGTTTTACAGAAAAGAAACTTAAAACCACATGGCTTATTTACATAAACTATAAGCAAAAACAAACAAACAAAAAAAACTGCTTGCTCCTTGTGTGATGTGGTCAGCTTCTGTTAGACTAAAGAACGCAACTCAGTGGAATATATGTGAAAATCGGTCCAAGGTCAGTAAGCACAACCAGAATTAATACATAAGGCGCACCGGATTTTTAGGCACACTGTTGATTTATCTGAAAATTAAGGGATTTTAAGTGTGTCTTATAGTCCGAAAAAAATACGGTACTCAAGTTTTAAACAAGGAAAAACCGTAATGAGTGTTTCCCATAGAAAATTGGTTAGGCAAGGAAAAAGTTAGGAGCGGGGGTGTACGGAGATGTATGTAATATGTATATTGCAGACCTACATGGAGATCTTGACAAGGTGACCCAAAAAAAAATCTCTTGCGACCCACCTGAGGGTCACAGCCCAGTCTTTGGGAAACAATGAGGTAGACCATACTGTGAAACATTACAGGCAAAGCAATAACATTTCCATTAAAACATTTATTATTATTTATTATTAGTAAAATGGCCATTGAGATACAAGAATGATTTACTCTCATTTGACGATTTACTAAAACATAATCATTAATCCCACTCACCAGGAGATATGATATAGAAGAAGTTTTTGAATTCGTCCATCCAAACTTCTGCCAGACGTCTGTTGTTTTTGTTGATAATTTGACCTGTTCCTCCAGGAAACGTGTAGGGCGTGGCTTTTCTGAAGACGTGTCCCACATGAGAGCAGGTGACGATCTCCAGTGTCCCGCCGCACTGCCAGATCTGCAGCAGAATAATCTCATTTAGTTAATACACTGATTAAATCGGACAGAGTAGTCCATCTTGTAAATTGTGTTATTGGCCCTATATTACACATTACTCAGGAATTCTAAATTGCTTTGGACACTTTAGCCTCGCTGTTTCCTGTAGCGCAACTTGAAATAAGGTTTGTGTCTTGGAAATGCCTCAAAACCTTTGTTGGCATTACGTGTATTAATATAAAATGTTAGGGTTACATTTGATGGGCAAAGACAGGGAGTTACAAAGAAGCTAAAAATAATGGTAATAGTAATGGTAATAATGGTAGTGGATGCTATGGAATAGGGATGGGCATGATTAGGCAATTAATCGATAATGGATCATTAAGAATTTCATAGATTGCGTTCATTTTAATCGACAAAAAGAATGTAGGTTGCTGTGCGTAGCGTGACCAAACAGGGGTCCGTACATGTAGCTCTCTGCACTCAGAAGGAGCGAGCAAACACAGTCGGTCAACCTGCAACGTGCCGAAGCACAAATGCGTATTTAACGATGACTTGTACAAGAAATTCCACACTTTCCGTTGTGTTTGGGACAAGTGGGAGGCCATGGGCGCAGTGTACAAAGCAGCACATATGTTTCGGTGTCCAGTGGGAAAAAGCTTTACCAGGTGAGAGCAGCGCAATGACGATGACGAGTCCCCACCTCCCACCCCCCGTACGGTGTTTTGGTTTTGACAAACGCAAATATGGTCACACTAACCTGTATTCCACTGAGTTGTGTCGCATCATCGCACAAGAGCTGTTTTTTTTTCTTTTGCTTAGTTTATGCAAATTAGCCAAGCGGTTTTAAGTTTCGTTTCTGTGAAAGTTGCGCAAAACTGCATTAAACACATTATAATGTCAAACGGGCTGATGTGGCTCTAGAGTGGTTACGGTTTATATGTTGTAAAGTTGAATTTATTTATGCAGATTAGTAGTGCAGATAGTAATAATAATGATGATCATTTTAATAAATTTTTTTTAATGATTAATCGATAATCGATTGTTAATTCTTCCGACGATCGATTAAGAAAATTTAATTGAATGCCCATCCCTAGTAGTTACAAAGAAGCTAAAAATAATGGTAATAGTAATGGTAATAATGGTAGTGGATGCTATGGAACGTGTCTTTTGAAGTGTTTAGAGCTGTGAAAGAGGCGTTTAAATGTGCAGGATTATGAAACATGCGACTCTGAGACGAGCTACAACTCCAGGAATACATTTGATAAGGATGGTTCATGGTGTAAAGTGAAGTGTATCATAATATAATCCCTGAAATGTGACTGGCTGGATGAGTGAAGTCTGCAGGGAGATGGTTGTCTGTGTTTTGACAGCCTGGATGAGTTTGAGTGAGCGCCGGAGAACATGACATCTGACAAAGCATTAGTCAAGTCAATAGTTTAGTCAGAGAAAGTCAAACTCACGACTGTGTTTTGGTTTATGATCGAGGGAGGGAGAGACGGACCAGAGAAAGAACAGAAAGAGATATAAAAAGATAGATGATCATTGAAACGGAGAGTGCCGGCACAAAATAAATAGCGAGATAGATTGATAGATAGATCTAGGCTATAGGTGGGTAGAAGAAGAAAGGGAAAGGAGAGACAGAAAGTGATGGCGAGAGATCTAGAGAATTCATGGGTTTCAGGTTCCTCTTTATAGGTGCCATTTTGAGTACTTTTTGACCATTCAAAAGATTAACTATTTTATTTTGAACTGTCATCGCTCCACAACTGATGGATAGATTGACAGCTAGAGGAGAAGAGAGAGAGAGATAGGGAAGGGGGTAAAGAAAGTAAAAAAGAAGGAAGAGAGGCAAGAAGATAACAGACAGAAGTAGACAGATTTAGAGAGAGAGAATGAAAGAGGGAAAGCAGAGAGACAGAAAGAGAGGGGGAGAGATAGAAAGAGAAAGAACAAAAGGAAAGAGGAAGAGAGAACCAAAGAGGGAAGGGAGAGAAAGAGAGAGAGAGAGGAAGAAAGAAGAAGAAGAAAGATATGAGCTACAGTAGGAGAGAGCAGCAACAATAAAAAAGGGAGAGGAAGAGAAAAAGAGAGAAATGGGAGGTGACAGGGAAGCATGTGGTGAAGGAGGGAGAGAGACAGAGGGAGAGAAAGAGAATGAGAGGGAGAGAGAAAGAGAGGGAGAAAGAGACAGAAAGAGAAAGAAAGAATGAAAGGGAATGGGGAGAGAGAGAAAGTAAGGAAGAGAAAGAGGGGGAGAGAGACAAAAAGAGAAAGAATGAGTGGAAAAAGATAGGGAGCAAGAGAGAGAACAAAAGAAGGAAGGGCGAGAGAAAGCGAGGGAGATAGAGAGAAAGAGAGAAAAAGGAAGAAAGAAGAAAAAAGTTATATGTAGTGAGCAATTGCTGGAGAGAGCAGCAACAATTAAAAGAGGAGAGGAAGAGAAAAAGAAAGAAAGGGGAGACAGACAGACAGACAGAGAGGTATGTGGTGAGGGAGAGAGACAGATGAAGAGACAGGGAGAGAAAGAGAATGAGATAAAAAGAGAAAGAAAGAGAGGAAAGAGACAGAGAGGAAGAGAGAGAAAGAATGAAAAAGGGAAGGGAGAGAGAGAGAAAATGAGGGAGAGGAAGAGAGGGGGAGACAGATAGAAAGAGAAAGAATGAGAGGAAAGAGATAGAGAGAGAACAAAAGAGGGAAGGGAGAGAAAGCGAGGGAGATAGAGAGAAAAAGAGAGAGAAGAAGAAAGCAGAAGAAAGTTATAAGTAGTGAACTACAGCAGGACAGAGCAGCAACAATAAAAAGGGGAGAAGAAAAAAAGAGAAAGGGGAGACAAACAGAGAGGCATGTGGTGAAGGAGGGAGAGAGACAGAGGGAGAGAAGAAGGGAGAGGTAGAGAGGAAGAAAGACAGATGGAGGAAGAGGGAGGAGTGCATTCTTGTCAGTTTAACAGTGGGGCTCACTCACTCTGAACGAGATCTCCAGGTTCTCCCCTCCCCAGATGTCCATGCCCGCATCATAAGTGCCAATCTCCTGGAAGTAGTCTCTGTCGATGGAGAACAAGCCCCCCGCCATAGTAGGGGTCCTGCAAACACAAACAAACACTATGGTAAACTAAGAGCGTCATAACACACTGAAGCTTATTAACGTTTTCTAATTACAGTCTATGACAATTTTATGGCTTTCCAGTAACTTTATGCAACATTCACACACTAAGAGGAAAAGAAACACTGCTATTCCACTGCTATAAAGTGTTTATAGAGTCCATATTACAATATCACTGATCTATGATATAATGTTATCATCACAATCATACCTGGAGTTGTGTGTTTTGTTTCATTCACACATGTTTAACTCACAAACTCTGCATATTTAGGCTCTTTTCTCAACTGTGTGATTCCATGTCATAATACAGGAAGTGCTTCTCTGAAATTTGAAATCCCATACACCTTAACTAGAACCATTTAGATACTTTCAATCCTGGAATTAACCATCTCTACTGAACAAAAGCGGCAAGGCAGCTGTTAACTTGAAAACTACCTCTTTTTCACAAGATGGAACAGAGCATTTTGAGCTTTGGAGATTATAAATAAAGTAATGTTGTTACGGCCCCAGGTCTGCAGTTCCTTGAGTTTTGTGTGTGTTTTAATTTCTTATTGTTCCCCTGGAATCCTGCTGTGAGAGCCCTGGTTCCTGATTGGTGGATTACCTCTACACCTGGCCAATCCTGCCTCACCTCCTGCCTCCTCCCCCTTATTTAAGGAGATTGCCAGCACCTGTTCGGGCTGCTGGCCTTGGTGCCAGTTTGCCATTTTGTGTTTGTGTTCGTGTGTGTGTTTAAGTCTGTAGTTTAGTTCTGTTTTGTGCCTTTTTTAATTTGGTCACTTAATTCTGTTTGTGGGCTTATGTGGTTTAATTTGGGGAACTTGTTTTAGTTTTGAGGTGTTTTAATTTTATGTGTATCCCTTAGTTAACCACTCATTTTTTGTGTAAGCCTGCGTGACCCGTTTTGTGGCACAGAACTTGTTGTCTGTTAATTCCGTTGTTTTGTTTCTTAGTTTAGGTTATTTTCTGTATATAGTTTAGTCTGTTTTGTTGATTTACCTTTGCATTCCTGTTAATTAAACATTACTTCATTTATTCCATTTTTCCATCTTGTTTTTTTTGTTACTTCCCTCACCCCAAGCGAGCTGGGTCGCAACAAATGTAAATGTAACAAAACACAATTCCAGGCATGTTTTTGAAAAGGTAACGGCATCATAACATGGCTTAAAGCTCACAAGAGTCAATTTTATGTAATGCAGGACCATTAAGTATATGTATAGGCCTATTTTTGTGGAGTTAACTTTTGTAAATAAATTGAGCATGAACATTTCTAAGCCAATCTTTACTAACTTAATACCACAATGTTCAATTAGGGTTAAAAGGCAAGACAGTCAATAAAAAAGATAAAAACTTGTACTGTGATAAACCAAGTTTATTACCTGGGCATAAAACTTTAAAAGCTTAATTTTCATGCCATCAAATGCATTATCGGTTTTTACGAACTGTCCTTGGACATGCTCCGAATAACCACCACTAGTTTCATTTCCTATAAAGTTTCCAACATTAACTGAAAATCTGCACTTTTCACATTAAGCATATCTAAAACATCTTAACCACCACCCTGAGCTTTCTACGTTTTAATGATCAGCTTTTTGCAAATATAATAATAGTGTTTCTAGTCTCAGCTCTGCCATTCGCTCCTTTAGAACTGGTTCTCTTTTCTTTACCACCTGCTTTTCCTGCTTCGTCACGCTGAGATTTTCTGCTGTATCTGAAACCCAAAGTAGTAATGTGTAAACAGTGGAACATTGATCAAACATGTCCCATGAGCAGAACAAATAATAGACTGTTTACCAAGAACTAGATGATACTTGTGAAACTGTGGACTTTAAATAGCTAAAGATTATTGGAATTTAAAGGAATAAACTGACAACATTTTGGGATAATTGCATTAAGGTAAGAAATATTTAAAAAATCCTTAAATAAATACAGAAAAATGAAATATAATATGTAAAGTAGGTTGAGTCTTAGATCTGATTGGCAAAATAACCAATGAACTCTGTTGTGAAATGCCTAGTTATGTATTTAAATGACCCACAATATTAGTTTTTAGGAGTATGGTCATACTCCTTCACCAAAGCAAGTCTTTTTGGACACTAAAACTCAGCTTGTAATCAGATAAATGAATTATTGTTAAGTTTAATGCCATACTGTGGAACACTCCAGGCAAAACAATAACATTTTCATGAGACAAACAGATGGCAGAACCTCCAGGAAGAAAGAAAAAGATTGACTAAAACCGCAAAATGTTTCGCCTGCCCAACTAGCTGTGCCAAAAATGACCACACAAGCTAGAAACCGTTTGAAGCCTGGGTCCTTTGTCTGAAAGATTTACACCGGAGTTTCCTTTGCCCAATAGCCATAAACAGAAATCTTTGCCGGTGACCTCAGAGCTGTAAATTACATGGTAGGTGTGAGCATAACAACTGGGTTAGTTGCAGAGATTTCATCGTGAATGCGTCTTTCTTGGGGGCGTTTCAATGTCTCAGCATAAACACAACATAGTTTTAAAATCCATACATGAAAAAACTAACACCAGATCTACAGACAGTTCAAGAACAGAGCCGGTGCCAGTTTTCAGATTATCTCATTAGATAATATAAGCCTGTAATGTTTATTTGACATGGGGCTAGTGAAAGTACTACTGTTACTAATACTGTTATAATGTTGTGTGGTTAGATAGTGTGATAATGATCCCAAGAACATAAAATCAAGTTCAACAATCGTAAGTCTGTCTTTAAAGGTGCACTATGTAATTTGCCACTACCTGATTGTATCCAAGGAGATGTTTTTGTTTTGCCTGGAATGTTCCACAGTATTATCTTGCATTTATTCCATCGCACAAGTTTTATTGCTTAAAAACACCTTGAAAAATATGCTTTATTTACTTGAAGCGGGCTCAACTCTCAACAGATGTGACCCGTGATTTAGCCTTGAGGTGCAATCTGCTTGTCTCTGTTAAGATTAACAGGTTTAATGCTGTACACTAGAACATTCTGGGCAAATCAATAACATTCCTGTGAGGACAAGCAGGTGATGGACCCTCTACCCGAAAAGTTGCATAATGCTGTTTTAAAAAGTATTTTGGACCACCAACAATCAAACCTGAGTGATTTAATATCACAATGTTTTGATGCTTCTATGCCGACAATGTCCAAATCCCGGTTTAAAGCTGCACTGTGTAGCTTTTCAGGTGGAGGGTGCGTCAAATCCTTTTCTCCATGGAGATGTTATTGCTTTGTCTGGAATGTTTACAGGTTGGATTAAATCTTTCTATCTTCATGTAGACCAAACCAGACCAAGTTACAGCTCAGATCTATGGAGAGGCGACCCTGCTCACAGTCAGAATGCCTGTTTTTCTAGGTTGAGCTATAAAACCATAGCCTTGCTGGTGCCACCTAGTGGTTCTGTTCAATTTCATTTCTTTCCAGCAACTAGGTCAGGGACCAGAATACACTAGACAGTTTGCAAGAACCCCAGAAGTTGTAGATCGCACTGGCCAGTCATTGAAGAGCTGTGAAGACCTGACTGGGTCCATTTTGTGGTAAAGCACAACAGTAAACAAAGCGGTTGAGATGGATGTAGATGAAGCCATACATTTTGTGTTGGCAACGATTCCTGAGGATTTAAAGCCGAAACAAAGAGAATGTTTGGTGAATTTTATCAAGGGGAAAGAAGTTATTGCTCTTCTTTCAACAGAATTTGGCACATTACATGTCCTAATGCTGTGGGGTCAGGCAGTTTCCACAAAATGAAACCGGCTGATAAAACCACCTGTAATTTAATAAATGTAAGGTTTGAGAGCTGTTTAATGTTATACGGTGGAACATTCCAGGCAGGGCAATAACATATCCAAAGAAACAAGCAAGTAACGGACTCAGAACCAAAAATGTACATAGGGCACCTTTTACAGTTCTGTTTATAAAAGGTTATCTGCAAATTATTTTATATTGGTTATTCATGTTTATTGACTTGTTTGTTTATATTGCTGTTTATGAGTCCTTGTTTTGTCACACCCTTTGTATTACTGGCCATAAAAATTGTGCTCTTCAAGTGAACATACTTTGGTATTTCATATGAATGGGCCTAGAAGTTAAAGAGATATTAAACAAAAATCTGGTCAAAACATCTGCAATATGACTGACAAATTCTACCACAGAACTATTAGTTATCTTCACCACACAACATTCTGTCTAGTGAAGTACATGGAGTGCATTTGTCAGACTGACCATAGCTGCTTTGTATGAGAGATCCATAGCACTTTCTCTCAGCGCAGCTCAAATAGGTTTATGCAAATCATGTCATTTGTGAAAAGTACTTCCTCCCCTGATGCTTCAGCTCATTTTTGTTTTTGGGGCACGGACAAGACGCACTTAGGGAAATGTTGCCTGAGAAGACACGGACACAGGCAGTTGCATAAGATATATCGAGTTTGTGACCTTGAATACTAACAGGAGACAAGAGGAGGAAGACAAGATGATGGACAGCCACAAATAGGCTAGAAATATGCCTCTCGCTGTTCCACCTGGTGTTAAAGCCGAACCAAATCTGTCAGCTAGCATCCAAGGCAACACATACATATATTTCCTCAATTTAGCTCAATAATAGTCCTTTTCTTTAGGTGTTGTTTGCAGGTGTAACGATATGACATATAGGGTCTAGGGATGAATCTAAATACACAATTTGCCTTTGATTTACTTTCTTACATAACAAAAATGATAGAGAACAGAGAATACAGTTCTCAAAGAGCTACTGTAGACCATCATTAAGTCACTCCACAAATAAGGGTATAAACAACTACTGTCTAACTAATGGAAATGTGGCTATTCCCATTCATATACACAAGACAAGATGGGTAAAGTGGCTTGCCAAATGACACAACGGCAGTACAGTGATTCCCATATATTTCGATCAGACTATGATGGCAGAACAAAAATGTTATATTCATTTTGTACAATTTGTATACAATTTGTCACTTATTGCTTGTATATACAGTATAATTCTTTTATGTTTATGTTAAAGGGACAGTCTGGGATTTTGGACATAGAACTAGGGTTTTGTGTCATTAAGAAGTTGTCGATACGATACATACCTCGATACATAGGCCACAATACGATACAGTGAGATTTTGATTCAATATGATATATTTCAAATTGAAGTCAGTCAAGTCAAGTCAGTAATAAAAATAATTTCAAAATCATGGCTGTGATACAAATATATTAAGAGATAAGTCTTTGTTAAACCACTTCTTGTGCAAAGTTGATATAAAACGCACCTATTTTAATCATCAAAACAGTGAAAATATCAAATGTGTTGCATAAACAAGTTTCCTTCCTCTAAACAAGCAACAAAACTGTAGTGCTGTTACAAAATAATTTAGTAAAATATACCAAAAAATACTGTTGGTGATATATCGATACAACAGCCCACGATATCAATACTGTATCATCGCTTTACACTATACGATATATCGATATTTCAATATTTTTGCACATCCCTACATAGGACCTAATTTCCTTGTTAGCCAGAGTGTTGGAGACGTGTGGAGACACTTTTTTAAATATTCCATCCAGTCCTTGTATTTGCAGAGGTCGCTGGTTCTAGGCTAGTGCATGTTAATGGTCATAGTTATCCTGCAACTAAAAACAGCTAAACCAAAATCTATCGATGTGAATGTCTGTGTTGATAGAATAATGTTTGCAATAAAACTAACCTTGCATCGCATGAATCGTCGCATGTTGAGGGACTATTTTCTCAGCAGCAGCAGAATTTTTCTTTTCCCGTAAGATAGGTGCTAGGTGATATCAGCCCACCGCTCCCAAGCTTTTCTATCAGTAATAAGTACAACTCACTGCTGCAGCTCAGACATAAATCCTTCAAATGCAAGGTTGGTTTTACTTCAAAAATTATTCTATCGACACAGACATTCATATCGACAGTCTGGTGTTATAATGGTTTTGCCTCGAGTGCACTGTGGAGTGGGTAAGACTGCCCATTGACATGCACTAGCCTCTCCAACACTCTGGCTAACTAAGGTCCTATGTCCAAAATTCTGGACTGCCCCTTTAATGTATAGTCTTGGTTTAGAATTTTAGAATGTGAGGGGCCAGAACATGAAGTCTCCTCTTTTACTGCGAAATACTGAGGTAGATCTAACCTTCAACCATTTGGTAATAAGACTATAACACCTGAGCCACTGTCACTCCAAATACACAGCCATTCGATAATTAAACTTTGCTCCTTTCACGGTTCCTTTCACGCTAGTTTAAACTTACGAGAACACATTAGGAATGAATCCACAAATGCATATTAACTTCACATTAAAGATAAGGTGCAGGTGCGGTTTGGGGTCTCACCTGACAGGCAGTGTGCGGTCCCCTTTGCGGCGGTCCATCTCCCTCTGGGGCACAGGATACCAGCGGAAGTTGAGTTTCCAGTTAAAGCCTCCATACGTCATGTCAGACCCGGCCATGTACTCGAACGTGTCATCACTGATCACGTCGATGATGGGGCACACCACGGTCCTCCTACAGCAAAACAAAAATACAACAGACGTGCCGTTCAGAGTCATTCAGATTTAAAGGTATAGTGTGTAACTTCTTATGGATCTTCTTCTGTCAAATGCTTATCGCTGTGGAAATGTTTGTCTGGAATGTTTCACAATATTGTACTGAACCTTTCTCTCTTCATGGAGACCAAACCAGACCAAGTTACAGGTCAAATCTGTGGAAAGGTCACCTCAGTCATAGTCAGAATACCTGTTTTTCTAGGTATTTTTGATCTATAAAACCACCTGTACTTGACTAAATGTAAGGTAGAGCTGTTTAATGTCATACTGGGGACCATTCCTTGCAAAACAATGACATATCTATAAAAACAAGCAGATGGTGGACCTAGGGGTGGGCAATATCTTGATATTTTAAATATATCTTGATATTTTTTAAACACAATATGGATTTTGACATATCCTATATATATTGATATAATGCTTATATTCAATTCTGATTTGACTGCTTCGCTTGTTTGCCTTCCCTGTGGTTGCTCCCGCTCCCCTGATTTTGCTCACTTGTGTCTCATTCACACTTCACTACCGCCGTGAATGCCTAAAGGTACCAGTGAAAAACTTCTAATACTTCTAATAAAATCTGCAATCTTCTAAACAATCATAGAAGATATTTCTGCAGTTTTGTCGATAAATTTAATTTTTTTTAGTAATACTTGAACCTCAACCAAGACATTTATATGCAAATTACAGCACATTTTGGTGGATTGCCATAATATTAAATTTAAAGTTGAAATATAAAAAAAAAAAAAAAAAAAAAAAAAAAAAGCATATCCATTAAGGGCTGATTTGCAAGAGGTGCACATCCCAAACATATGCATTTAAATACTGCATCAAATCGTGCTTTCCCATCAGCCAACACTCCTGCCCTTCGCACATGTCCTCTGAGCCCCTGTACTTTGTGAGCCGTGTGAGTGTGTGAGTGTTTGTGTTTGTGTGTGTGTGAGGGGAGTGTCTGTTGGCAGGAAGCACTAAACACAGAATGAGTAATTAAGTATCAAATAAACACAAGGACAAGCCCCCTGCAGGCTCAACAAGCACTTATTGATTTTTTTAAGGCTATCTAACGTGAGTGCGCTGTAGTAGGGATGCTCTGATATGGATAAAGAAAATTGGAAATGACACATGGATACATGGGGGGCAGGACAGCCTGGAAAAATATCAGGGAACTTTGCAATTTTGAACTGATGCCTACCTACATATGAAAAAAAGACTATAGATTATTATACATTGTTTGTGAGTGTGTCTTACTTGTCTTGCATGATGCGGGCCAGCAGCGGCTCCAGCCACCCTGTCGTGCATTCACAATGAGCATCCAGGAAGGTGATGACCTGAGAGCATGCACAGAATACATTAGGCTAACACAGGCCTTATTAGGGCTGCCACAACACCAACAGTTCAAACTCCATTTCAATACTAAGGGATAAGCGTGATGCTCGATACTAATCTCAGTACCACTAGCCTTGTCATGATAATTACTTTATTAACTTTGTTCAATACGTGAAAGCTGGAACGGTACGTTTTAGCCTCAGTATTGTACATTTTCTTTGCAATAATGGGGTAATTTTTGTTGTTTTAGTTGCAATACCATAAGATTTGAGCTGTGGAGTATGAATAAATAACTTTTATGGCTAATTATCAGTGTTGGGAAGGTTACTTTTAAAATGTAATCCCCTACAGATTACAGATTACACACCCCAAAATGTAGTTTGTAACGTAATCCATTAAATTACTTAAAGTGAGTAACGTAATCTGATTACTTTGGATTACTTGATATTGTCATGTTTTTTAAACGGCATGAATGTAGCAACCACATCCTGAAAATTCTTGTTTGTTGTCTTCAAATTGTCTGAGCCCAAGTCTGCATGAATAAGCAACTCTTTGCTGTAGAGAAACAAAGACCATGATATCTGAACATAAGAGGTTTTGTCTGTTAAAAGACAGTAACAAGATAAGCTTTTCCTTCACCATATTAAAAAATATTATTGATAGAGAAATTATGTTTTATATGAGATCACCTTAAATTATGTCAACCTACTGTTAGGTGTCATGTTGTTTAGACCTGGTTTAGTCCTGATTTTTAGACCTGGTTTACTCCTGATTTTAGACCAGGGGCCTCATTTATAAAGCTTGCTTACGCAAAAATCCGTGCGTGCGCGCTTCCTACGCCAACCGCGGTATTTATAAAACTCGCCTAAGGCGTGGCTCTTTGCTTAACTCTACGCCAACTCGGGACCTCCTGTAAGTTCTACGCAAAGTCTGGAGAGACGGGGAAAAAGCGACACTCGTGGAGAGAAGCAGAAGTGAACAGAGTTTGAGAAAGTGTTTGATCAGAAAATCCACGTATATAGAAGAATTACCTTCTGATTTGCGCATTTAAGTGTTTGGTTCGCCAAAATACGGAGAAGGGCTGTTTATTCCACTCATTATTCTGCACAATATTATACATTTGAACCTCGTGCACGAGCGCGGCCACGTTCCCGGACTCGGTGTAGCGCAGAGTCCCACAGTCCACACCGCGACCATAGACTTCTATAGAACACAGTCTGTGACCGACACAGAGGACGAAATAATGTCCCAACCTGAGAGAAAACTCTTCCCTTGGACGCAGCAGGAGCCAGGCTTTGATTTAATGAACGCAATTTTAACACTTTTACTTTAGTCTTTACGCACCGAGCGGCAGATTGACCCGAGTCTGCGGACAACACGAAGCCTACTGCCCGAACCTGACCCCAACCAAAATCTTCCCTACATTTTTGTGTAATGGGGAACTCTTGTACATGAGAGCTGCTCTCTGACTGTATGAAGAACAGAATAATGCCCGTGCCCGTCCCGACCCAGACCCACACTCACAGGTGAGCAGTTTGGATGTTTCGTGTGGACTTTAATTGGCAGAATAACATCTGTATCTGATGTGTTTCGTGCTAAATCTGTGTCCTCCACGACGTGTGCTCAATGTCAGTGTTGCCAGAATGGGCGGGTGCCCAACTGGGCTTCTTTTGACTATGTCGGGTGGGGAGGGGAAGCCTTAGGCGCATAATATTTGGGCTACTTTCAACAAGTTTGGGCGGTTTTTGTTTTCACACCAATCAACACGATATGCAATAACGCAAGGAACTGCATGGGACTTTCACTCCTGTCCAGTCTTATGGCGGTGCGCTCCAACCTGTGCACAAATGCATAGACATCCACTACGTTCAGACTTCCCCGGCAGCTGTTGCAGAGATTCAATTCTTCAATGTATGAGTAAGCAGGCTATGTGTTTGCAGCTGTTCTTGCAGTAGCCTAGGATATAATCTACCATTGATGATATTCATTTTTATGCGTGTTCTATGTTTTACCAAAGGTTTTACATAACACATTTTCTCAATCTTGGCAATGTTGTTAAAAAGCCAATAGATCAATAGATTATGTTACAACACATTTATTCCAATATTAGAAAAAAAAAACAAAAACAAAACTTTTTTTCTGTGATAAATGAAAATACTGTTTTACATTTAACATGTTTTCTCAATACTGGCAATGTTTTTAAAAAGCCCAACAATGGATTACATACGTTTATTCAAAGATTAAATGTTTTCTATGACAAAACATTGTTGGTGTTTCATTTCTGTTCATTGGTGTTTCTTTGCAGGTTTTTGAACGTGATTAGGCAGAAATCACAAAACCTCTCCGCATCTCTCCCCATCTACACTAGCCTTAGATGAGGCTCATGAGGCTGCTCCTCTGGCTTTGACAGTCACTCCCGCTTGTTTCTGAAGCTTCTGTTCTCACACTCCACGTGTTTTGCGTCCGTTTCCTGGTTGAAGTAAGTTTGAAAGTCCCCTCTCACTCTGTCCTGCTGATTGTTTTCTGCTGCTGCTGCAACAGCAGTAGGAAAGGAAATTGACGCTACAGGCAGCAATGCATTATTGGACCTATAGTTCAAATTGTTTTAAGTGTTTTATTGGCAGGCCACTATTAATAGAAATTAGAAATCATCTTGCGGGCCAGTGGAAATGTCTCAGGTGCTGCCTGAGATCATTAATGATCCACATACTAGGTCCCTTCCCTCCATCTGAAATTATTACATAATTAAATTCTAGAGCATGACACTATTACATTATCATATCAAATCATAATTTTATACAAGGCAATGTAATTATCAACACAGAATATGATTAGTTAATTACATTGAACCATGTAGTCATGCATTCATTCATACAAATGAGAACCTGGTTTTGAGTCCTGTTTTAATATTGACTAATTCAGTCATATGGCAGAGACAGAGGGTCACACACACACACACACACACGTGCACACGCACACATGCACACACACCTGTCCCGTTGAGATGGATGCTCCTTTAAGACGCGCTCGGATGAGTCCAGACCTCTGCTCCATCCGCACCACTCGGACCGGCACCTCCAGCCTGCGCACGTACTGCTCCAGAGGGCGCTTCAGAAAGTCTAAACACAACATACAATATCAATATAACATGAGAACAGTACAGAAACGTTAGTGCAGATTATCTATCCAATGAAATACTACGTACATATTGTAATGGAATTTTAATGTCATAAATCAAACATGATTCAACTATGCAACCAGATGAACAATTCTCTTTTGTTCCAGTACAATTTGTCTTTTGGCAAACCTAATATTTAAACCTCAAATAATATGTTTTAAAATGTTTTATATTGTTGCCATTCTTAATTATAAAAGTTTTTTTTTTTTTTTCATGATACCACTTGCACCTGCCCACCACCTCGCCCTCCTGATGTGTGCCCTGTTAAAGGTCCTGTCAGGTGAAGGGGGCAGCACGGCGGCGGATGGGGTGGGATTGAGGGTAATAACAGAGTGTAATCCGCGCGGCTGGCAATTTAAAGACCTAATCTCTCCCAAACAGGGATTAACAGCAGTGCACAGGGAGGAGTGGCATCATATATGAACACTCAGCTACATGTGCCAACACATCTGAGAATGCCCCACAACCTCTCTGAAAATAGGCTAAGCTCCAAGCCACAAGATAACACAGAGAACAAAGCCCCAGGAATCACCATTATAAATCATACATGACACATTGATCTTGATGACAGAAATATTATGGTCTTTAAAATTTAATTACAATAATCAATAAGTGCCTCATCTTTGTATTGCATTTTATCACCTTAGATTTTGTCATCCCTGTTTCAAACAGCAAGACACTCAGTTAGCCTACATCTGTAAGTAAAGGTTAATAAGCATTTTAATAACAAGATAATGTCTGTATAACATGGTAACATGATTAAAAAACTTGTTTTAATTGAGTGGATATATCTTTTTAAACATTTATCATCAGAGCTGAAATTATGCCAATTGTATTTTACAAACAAGTTATTTTCCCAAGAATGATCCTTAGTAACTTAAAAAAAAAAAAAACATCAATATAATCTTCCACTGCTCCACTCTGTCAGCACTTTTGTGATTAATTTTATTTTAAAGTCAATTCACTTCAGTAGGCCTGTCACAATGAATACAATAATATATCGACTTATCGTTCAATACATGACAGATGGAAGAGTACTTTCTGGGGTTCAATATTTATCACGTGGACTTTTTCTTTGCACTAATGGGAAAAGTTTGAATATATAAAGTATATTTCTATTCTATGAAGAGAGGTTTCAATATGAACTTCTCTGACTCAGGAAAGATACAAACTAACTACTAAGTGCTGCGTTCAGGGTTTTTTTTGTTCTTTTTTAATACATTTTTGTACATTTACAATATATCACACTTGAAAATGTGTTACCATGACAAGGCATTTACAGGCAGGTTTCAGCACATTTCTGAGATTGCAATAATATCATTTCAGTAGTACATGTGGATTACACGGGATTAAAAAAAATGAGATTAATTTTTGTTAACATTTCAAACTCCAAATCAGTACATTAATGATTTGAAAACCAGGTCATACCCCGTTCGCTGGCGTCATCGACCAGTACGATCTCCTCGAGCAGCGTGTGAGGGGAGCGGTCAATCACAGAGTGGACCGTCCTCAGCAGAGTGCTCCACGCCTCATTATGGAAAACTATCACCACGCTGGTGCGAGGAAGATTATCCGGATACAACTTGTGCTTGCACCTAAAAACACAGAATCAAATATTAGATGTGGACAAACTGTTTTAAGCCACAAGGGAAATTACCTGGACACAATAGCTCATTAGAATTTAATAACAAAGAGCAGAAAATAGTCGGTGATAAAATTCAAATTACAAAATAATTAAAGTACCGTAGCAAAAACAGCAAAAGACTGTATATGTAATTTAAATGAGCTGTTCCGCTCTGAGAAATGAACAAGATAATATAAAAAACAATGTACAAAGAGTTTAAAGTGCAATGGCTGTGTTAAATAAATTCATAAGCATTAAAGTCCTACTATTACTACTTCTACTACTACTGCTACTACTGCTACTGCTACTATTACTTTTCCTTACAGATACACTTCAATCTCGCCAATGTACTTTTCATATCAAAAATGACATAGAACCCAAGCAAAAATTGTGAGTTGGATGAAAATACATTGAGCATTTAAAGATGTTGTTGCCTCGTAAACCTAATTTCCAGTTATATTTATTATGTTTGAGTAGTAATTAAGAATTCCCATTACAAAATATTGAGGAGCACCAAAAAGGGACTGCTGCTTTTCAGATAACATTGCATTTCACAACATTCTATACAGGTAAAATTAATATTCTTAAACTGCAGATTTTTGTTGTAATACAGTGAGTTTTTGGGTTAAGTCACTAAAGACATTTCTTAAAAAAAGTACAATGTAATCAATAGGGAAGAGCCAATTGTCCAAATTAACTTTTCTATGTGCCACATTTGAATAGCAGCGGCAGCTAATGGCAACAGACGCACAAACCCATGAGGTCAAACGAGAGCAAACTCGAAGTAGCTCCCTCTGCCCTGGACACACAAACTAAATACGCTCTGACAGAGACAAAGAGAGAGGAGGAAAAACACCTCACATCTCCTCTGTCTGATTAGAAGAGACGGGATGGAGCCATAACTCAGAGAAAACCCACGCCGTGTCGACACTTCAGCCAAATGAACAGCTAAATGATACAGTTTACACATCCGCCAGACCGAATTAGCCACAATCAAAATCACTGCATTAATCCCATCATTTAGTGGTCCGGAGGAAAATTACATCAAGATGAAGTAAAGATGTACTAATTATTGAGCAATCAGCCTTGTATCCTCAAATTTAGACATGATAGGTCAGTTTGAAGACAAGTGATCCGATGGTAATTAGAGGGTGATTCAATACTGGAGAAACATGTGAGAGATCGAGAGAGCAGTGGTGTTTTGGAATACAACTTCAGCAGTTTAAAAGTGGTATAGGTATGGATTAAGAAAACAAAACTTTTAAAATGTTTACTTTTGCAAGAAGTCTTATGTTACACTATAGAGCTGCAAAACTTATCACAATTAATTAGAAATTAGTCATCATTGGCAATTTGCAAATACTGCAAATATTAAAGGTGCACTATGCGACTTTTCAGGTATTTTGTCTGCCACCTAATTGTCTCCATGGAGATGTTATTGCTTTGACTGGAATGTTCCACAGTATGCTATAAAACATACCTATCTTAAGTGGTAAATTGGTAAGTTTTCATTACCATCGTTGTCGCCTCTCCACAGATCTGACCTGTAACTTGGCATTCTTTGGAAATTGATATGTTTACTGCCGTGCTCTCCGTGGACACAAGCAGTTGGCGGGCACTGCACCAGAAAAGTTATACAGTGCGCCTTTAAGTAACATAATTTCTGTGGTAATCAACAAAATATCCTCCTACTCCTACTCTCCTTGTGCAAAAAAGCTGCTAACCCTGTAGTTTAGACCTATACACACATGTTCTGAAATGTTTGAGATTCTTGTAAGTTGTTATCTTCTCTCAAATGTTAATTCCCCTGGATGTGTTCAAAATGTGAACTTTGAACAGTTTGTCAAAATCGCTCAGCCCCACTAATGATAATATAAACAGACATCTAATATTTCACAGTATGAGCCTTTTTTAATAGTACAGCGCGTTCAATTCACGATACTCTTTTAATGCATTTACAAGAGTTAGTGCGCAGATGCTGGAAACTAATGTTCCCTGGGATATTTTAACAATAAGAGACGGGAAATATAATTAAAGTTATTAATCATTTTCAAAATCTTAATAAAAAAGGTTTTTTCTCAAAGGTTAACACAGTTTGCAATGAAATGGGATTAATAAATCAGTGTGCGCTGCACTCTCAAACTCTTGAAACTACTTTAAAGGTACATTGTATAACTTTTCTAGAGGAGGCACCGTCAAATGCTTTTCTCTATGGAAATGTTATTTCATTGTCTTTCTGTCTTTCTCCCTTCACGGAGACCAAACCAGACCAAGTTACAGGTCAGAAAGTAGCTTCTTGACGGCTTGTTGTAATTCTAACTGTTATCCTATGTAGAACATCCTGGTCATGTGCTTCTCATATGAGTCTGTTGTTTATATCAATCCCAGCTTGTTATTCTCCTGATTGTTGACCCAGCATTGTGTTGACCTGTTCTCGAATGAGACTAGGTCTTATCTTATGTGCCTGTATCATCCCTGTGACTTATGCCCCCCGTGGGGTATAAAAACTCTGTATTCATTGTTATGTCACAGCTTAGGGACACACGACTCCCCTAAACCAATTGATCTGAATCTCTATATTTATGAAAACTGACATATTCAAACTTACTGAACTAAAAACTATAGCACACAAAAAGATCTCTCAAAAGTTATTAGTTATAGGTGAGAGGACAATTTACTTTTGAGTAAAACATTTATTATTTATACATACATTTTGGTAAAATTTTAATGCCAACCTCATTGCCTTCATTTAAAATTCTTATTCAAACAGATTACTGAATGCCGCTCCCCACTCTTCACCCCCATCTCACGCTGCTTACTGTCCTGTCTGATGAAATAATACATAAAAAGGAAGATAAAGTAGAAATTCAAAAACGACTAAACTGATTCAAGTTTCTATTCCATGTCCTCTTTCCTCAGTGTTCAGAGAGTTTCATACAGTACTTGTAGTTTGAAGGTATGATTCACTATAATAACACTGAAATCTGTGACTCTCTGCTCCTCCCTGTGCTCCAGACGTTAAGACTTTCCAGACTTCACTCAACTGATGGAAAAAGGGATTAAACTTCCCACCAAACTAACTTTTCTTGAGAAGATGACAGTGCATATGAGAGTGTGTGTCATGGCTGGAATAACCCTCACACATTTGTTGAACAAGATTTGGCAATGGAAAAATCATACTGATGCTCGCAGGCTGTTTACCATGACAACAACTTGGGTTACAGCTAGAAAAGCAACCGGGCAAACACGCGCAATATGTATTCTCATTAAAAAGTAATAAATGTCATGTTTTTTGAAAGGCGTTGTCATGGAAAGTGCGTTGCCAGTCCACCCAACCACTGCATATGCCTCAATAATGAATCATCACTGGGTTTTTGCTTAAGCTGGAGCTGGGGACGTCCTGTAAATTTATTCACTCAACCTGCCTGTTCTCACACAACCAAATGGCTTTCGTACGCACACACGCACACACATGCATGCACAAACACACAAACACACACACGATATTGACTGTGTCTTATCTCCTAATTGGAAAAGCAGATAGACGGGAGAAGGCTGAGAGAAAGCACACCTAGTAATCAACTCTGGCTCAAAGACTAAAACCCATTTCACGGATCAATGTCCTCTTTCTTTTGGCCCAGTCTGCTGTGCATGTGCCCCTGTCCGTCAGTCCACTCGGTGTCAGTCAGACTTTCTGTTTATCACTAAAAAGCACCATTACCAATCTGAGCGGGGTCAGAGCGGCCATGGCAGGTGAGGTGGACGCTGTAGTTTGCACCTGTCGCAACCTGACAGATCTCTAAAGCTGTGGACATGTGATAGCCATGAACTAGTGTATTAGAAGATAATAAGCTTCTATATGTCATGTTTCAAGATTACGCAGTTAATTCACCAGTAAGTAACACTTTTCTGGCATTTTAAAGCTGGGGGAACTCATTTTCACACAGCTAAAAAAGGAAGTCGGTAATAGGTCTTACTCGTCCACAGCTCGCACAAAGCCTTTTGTGCGTTGTTAATATCCACGTATATTCATTTTTGGGCATGTGCTTGGCTTTAGAACAGCTTTTTTTCAGATGCTGAAGTGACACTGGAGTGGACAGCCCAATCACAGTCAATTAGAGTCTTGATTTTGTCATTTACTTCCGGGTTGACAAGAATTAATAACACATTATTATTAGCTGCAGACAGTTATGGCTCAGAGAAAAGAGTTTAAACCTGTTCTGCTTGTGTACATGTCTTTGCATGGACTAGCAACAAAGTACATCTCTAACATGTTAATGCCATATGAAGCATCTGGAGACCTCAGGGAGCAGCCTCCTCTGTGCCCAGACTCACGACTAAACATGGGGAGTCAATGTTTCAGTTTTATGCAGCTAAACAGGAGCAGTGAAGATGAAAAGACAGGCCTCTGCTCTAACAGTGTTTAAATCAAGACTCTAATTATTTGCTTTGATTGATTTATTTTTTTGTTGCTCATTTCTGTTTTTATTGTTTGTTTGCATTGTGCTCTTAATGGCTTTCATATTCTGTAAGCACTCTGAATTACTTTGTGTACAAATTGTGCTATATAAATAAACTTGCCTTGCCTGGCCTAATGTGGTCTTTGGATGTAATGTGGGGAAGTAAATGAGAGGTGTGTCAAACCACAAGAGTACATTTGATTAAACAGACTCACCCTTCTAAACGAACATCGGGCAGAGAGCGGTTGAGAGCGATCATCTCTGAGGCCATGAGGTTGAACTGGTTGATTTTAAACATCTCTTTCATCTTCTCCTGGTTTTCCTTCGGGATGACCACCGGTTTGCCCCCTTCACCAGGCCCATCCCGCGGTTTGGACAGAGCATCTGCAGGAAAATACACATGATATCAGTCACAATCTTTCATTTAATGTTTAATTCTCTGTCTTTCCGTTGTTTTTCCGTTCTGCCTGAAGGCATCAAAATTATGAATGCAGATATATGGAATATCACAAACAAAAACATATGGAATAATTCAATGTGTTTTTTTATATTTTGGATTCCTCAAAGTAGCCACCCTTTGCTTCTGAACTCGGCTTTGCACTGATGACATTCCACTAATGAACCATGACACGGCACAGCTGTGAAGTGAAAACCATTTCAGGAGAAGCTCATTGAGAGAAGGTCAAGAGTTTGCAGTGCTGTCAACAAAGGCTACTGAAGGGTACTGAATACAAAATAATAAACATACTTAGAGTTCACATTTTTCATTACTACATAATTCCATACATCTTGCTTCATATAATTGGTGCTTTCAGTTTGTTTCTCCAGTGCAGAGAATATTATACATAACTTTTCACACAAAATACCAAGTTATTTTTCTGAGTACCATCAGATGTAAATCAGGTCTCTAACAGGACTATTGTAGGGGTAATCTCGGGCTAAAGGTGGACTACTGTGGTTCTAAACAAGAATTTATCCCAAAGGAAAACAAAACATCTGATAAAATGATGATTTAACTTTCCGTTAAAAACATATAGATGGAACAATAATCCCTGGGAATCAATATTTATTGGGGGGGGGGCATTTTCTCAGCAATAGTGAGACAATTGTGGTTATTTTACTATTTCTAGTGCTGCATTCTGTTATTCATTTATTTATTGACCTTTTTGTTTCATTTTTAACAATATTGTACATTAAGAATACTTTTTGGGGCACAGTTTTCTGTGTTGACGGAAAGGTTTTCATTTTTCATTCTGGACTCTTCTCTCTAATTTAATCTCTAATTTAATGTCTCTCTCTCTCTTTTTAATTTTATGATGATTATTTCTTAGTTTTTATTGTGATTTTAATGTATTTCTTATTCTGTAAAGCACTTTGAATTACTTTGTGTAGGAATTGTGCTATACAAATAAACTTGCCTGGCCTTATGATTTGGTTTCAATAATATTGTTTCTTGCCTACATTTACTTCAGTGACAGGCTTACGCTCGTACCACAGTTTGAGAAACACTGCAGTAGACATATATGCAGTGTGTAAAGAGAAATGAATATAAAAATAAATGAAAACAATCAAATATAAAATAAATATATATTATGTTCTCTCACCGGCTCTCCCGGGCAGGCCACGCTCCTTCTTGTCGTCACACTTGTTGCACTCGCTGAAGTAGAGCAGGATGAACATGTCCAGCATCACCCACACCAGAGACGTGGCCAGGACCACCTTACAGTAGGCGAACCTCCGCATGCTGCAAACAGGACACACACAAGAGCCCATTATGACAGGAATGCGAAGGTGAAGACTGATGCTAAGCCCACAGCTCCCCAAAGCTCAAGAGGGAGATGGCTCAGTTTCACCTCACATCTCTCCCTTTCTCATTACTGAATCAGACTTGTGCTTTAAGTATCTTCTCAGCACCTCCATCTGTCTTTCCCCAGCCTGTCTGACTCCCAGCTCTTATCTGTGGGCTGCTTATCGGCCACTCTGCAAATGGTCACCTCCACACTGACAGGAGCTGAGGATGTTTTTAAACTTACTGAAGGCTTGGGCTGAAAGATTTGGGAAAAATATCAAGTGATTTTTCTGACTTATTGTATTGTGTTAGATTTGTGATCTAGTGCAACTTTTCTGGGGGAGGATCTACTTCCTACTTGCCTCCATGGAGGTGTTATTGCTTTGCCTGGAATGTTCCATGATATGACATTAAACATAACCAGCTAGCATCTATTCACTTATAGGTGTTTTTATGGCACAAAATACAAGGATTCCCTCTGTGAATAGGGGCGACTCTCCACAGATCTGAACTGTAATGTAGCGTAGTGCGGTAAGATGCTTGTCTCCCTCATGATAGATGGATCTAATCTACACTGAGGAACATTCTAGACAAAGTATCAGGTTTCCCATTCTTTTTCACTGACAAAATTTCAAAACTTTGTCATTACTTTTTCATGACCAAAGTGAATTTTCCATGACTTTACGGCACCCTTTTAGGGCTAAATATGAAATATTAACCCTTTCCACTCACCTTATGGTTTGGTATTATAGTTTTTTTAACTTTCAAAATACTGTCAATGCATTTATTGTCATCTCTTTTAAACAAAAGGTGCATACGTTCAGAAATAATTTTTAATTTACAAAATTCCTTGACATTTCCAGGCCTGGAAAATGACATTTTCAATTTCCATGACTTTTCCAGGATTTCCATGACAGTGGGAACAATGAAGAAATAACATTTCCTGGGAGACAAGCAGGTAGCAGACCCTCCGATAGAAATGTTACGCAGTGCACCTTTAATAATGGGAGTCAGCCCAAAGTTTAAATACATTCAGGAAATTTGACAGAAAGATTGAACTAACATGTATTTCAGAACATGCTTGTGCAGATCATCAGGGTAACAGTTTTTAAGATAAGATAAGACAGGGTATTTTGTTATTTGTGGAGAAAATGATGGTACTTTTTATGTTTTGATTTGTTGTATTGTGATGTAATGTCTTTCTTATTCTTTAAAGGTGCAAAGTACAATTTTTTTGGTGGAGAGTCTGCCACTTATGTGTCTCATGAGGATGTTATAGCTTTCCCCAGCATGTTCAATATGGCATTAAAGTAATCTATCTCTTGTATTGATTAAATAACAGGTGTTTGTATTGTTCAGAGCACTTCAAAGCACTTTGAATTACTTTGTGTACAAATTGTGCTATACAAATAAACTTCCTTTGCCTACTTCAAAGTGCAGTTTCGGTTCAATTGCGATTCATTTTGCAGCCCTGAAAACCCGTCTGTAAATAAGTCAAGTCTGAGCTGTCGTTTGTTTATTGTTATTCACAAAATGTTGTTGTGTAGAAAGCTGAAAGTAAACATCCTGAGCAGTATCAGGTTTGTTTTCTGTGACATTCAGGTCCAGAGCAGACCTGAGTGCATCGCGGTGCACAGAGCCCCGGCCCGCTGTAGGTGCACGGCGCAGAGACCAGAGCTGTGATGGTAATTGCTTTTCTTTGGCAGGCAGCAGGAGACAGACACAGGGACATTAACATTCCCCGGCTCTCCTTCCCCTCTCCTCTCCTCTCGCGCTACGTCTTTGCATCAGTGATCCCTCAGGTTCAGCAACAAGCAGAAGGAGAAAATTAATTTGGCCATGGTGATTTGTCTCATGTCCCTGAGAGGAAAAAGGTGTTTGTGCAGAGCTAGCTTAGCTTTGCTTAGCTTAGTTTAGCTTCGCTGCAGAGGAGGAGACGTGCGCTCTATTTCTAAATTCCTCTTGATAAGATTCAGGCCACTCAAAGTGCACTCACCGCTCAGGAATATAGATACTGTCTATTCTCAGCCCTGTCTATTACTTCTGCTGTGCTTTTCATGGATGGGTTTTACTGGGGCTGCAGGCCTTCAGTCATTTAAGCAATTAGTCAGTCAATAAATCTTAGTCAATCCACATGTTTATTAGTCCATAAATCATTATATTTAGACAGTGACGGGAAGAATACTTGGAAAATGTATTTAGTTACAAAATACTGCTGTAACATATTCTGGTCAAATCTGTGTACTATGCTCTGAATACTCTGAATACTTTTAAACCAAATTGCATTATATTATAGTGCAAAAACCATGACATATCATTACAAACAGCCTGATTTTGTTGCATTGTTTGTTATGCAGTAATTTATGTCTAATTAGAGAAGGAGTTGACATGCACATGCACACATGGCAAGAGCGGTGTTTTCTTTTTCGCTCACTAATACTGTGTAGTTCAAAGGCAAAACTGCATGATCAAGTACCAACATCTATTTCTTGGAGTTTAAAAAAGTAACTGTATTCTAAATACCAGCAAGGGCCTGTTTACATGAGAACAATTGCGGGTAAAAACGGCAAAATATTTGATTGGAAGTGCCTTTCATTTAGACGGTGATGGCGTTTTTGAGGCTTAAAAACACAAAAAACTGAAACCACCCTCCAGAGTGGAAAAGTTGAATATGCTCCGCTGTAGCGTTTCTGTCTACACTGACCAAGACGCAAAACTCTGGTCAGATCTGCTCACGTTGTGTACGTGTTTACATCACATACATCACCACCTAGCGTCACCACCGAGCCGCCTGGCATGCATACCTTTTGTGTCACTGTATGCACGCAGATTTCCTCCAGAAAATGCTTGTCTAATCACGGAATAAAAAGTGAAGACACGACACCATTTTTGAGTCTTCTGTTCAGACCGTCATCATCTGGCCCAAATGAAAAAATAACTAGCGTAATACAGGTACACAAAATTACTATTCAGAATGTGTATTTTTGGTACATATATTCACTGTATTCAGATTATAAAGATTTATATGGCACAACAGCAGAAAGGGAAAGTTAGAGGGTGCTTTAGTTGAAGTTGTAGTATTTTTTGGTATTTGCAAATTGAACTCATGATTCACAAGTTTAATCTGCCTTTTTATAAATACACCATTTCCTTGTACTTAAGAAATTCATAAATATTTATTTTAGCCTAAACTCCCATGCAATTTAAATTTTCTGAGTACAGTTTGGTCAGATACATACAGATAAGTCTCCTTTTTAGTCAACTAATCGATCTGCAGGACACGTCTTTATTCAACCAAGAACTTTTTTCGTTTACTGCAGCCCTAACTTCTACATAACACAGTTGTATTTGTTTATTATATTCACAATATTAAAATGCATTTGAGGCTGACTCATCTACGCCCCTGACACAGATATTGATTTTATACAGAGACATTTTACACGAGACAGTAATCCGCTTATAATGAACTGTGCTCAGTGCATAGGCCCAGCACAGCAGAGAATGATCGACTGAACAACGCCAGGAAATCACTGCTGCATAGACACAATAGATACAGCACTGTTTACTATAGTAGAGACTAGGGTCCACAACACTTTTCTGGACCTCCAAAATAAGCATGCAACTAACCAAAAGTTTCCCACTGCAATATAATGTTGATGGCAGAAGTAGTAGTTTCAACATTTTTAAAATATATCTCAAAATAATCTCACAACACCAATTAGTGGACCTCGTGACCACCGCTTAGTGCAGACTACAGCGATTCACCGCCTATCCAGCTGATGCTTCAAGAACACTTCAAATAACTTAAAAAAAAACAAACAAACAAAAAAAAACAACACAAAAATGTTATATATGTTTACAGAAATATTACAATACCAGTGTTTGCTTTAAGGCAATAACACTTCCATCAGTGTAAACCCCAGGACAACTGTGGCAGGTGTCCTCAGTGTAGAGTGACTAATACATCAACAAAGCAGCTAAGAATGTACATAAATTAAGCATTATTATAACTACATGAATGAGAACAGGTGCCAAGCAACAGGTGAAAAGGCACGTTAATCTTAAAAACACACAATGGCCATGTGTACTAAACCAACACTGAACAGAATCCCGCTCTTCATAGGTCTTTGTCATGTGATCCTCTGTAGCCTTAAGTCAAACAAAGGCCCGATTGTTTGACTTCCTCTTTGTCTTTAATGTATCATTCAGACAGGCCTGTGAACTAAAGGGCTCAAAAATCAATGGATTTGCAATTTATGTTTCAAAATTAGGATTCTCTTAAGATAAAAGACTGAGTTTTGCTGGGAAAATTATTAAGGATGCACCAGTCTGATTTTGGCATTAGATATTGGCACTGATACCGAAATATTTGGGGATATCATCTTCTAAATATCGACTCTGCCAATATCCTGGAACAAAATCAATAGGAATTAAATACAATTTTCAATCTATGTACCAGTTTTGGCAGATACTTGAAGGTATAGCATCAAACTCAGTATTGGAACTGAAAAAGCTGGATCAGTGCATCTCTTGAAATGATGTTACTTAAACAATAGCAGACATTGCAATTTCATAATTTTGTCCATTAAAAATGCACTTTTTACACAATTGTGAATTATTTTGCAGGGGTATGTTTACAGTAACACATAGAGCACATTTAAACTGGGACTAAACTGGGACTAGTCTAGATGAGGACTAAACCAGGATTAGAACAAGACCAAACCAAGTCCACATAAAAAAAAAAACAAAAAAAAACATTTCCTTCCAATTCCTCTTCACATCACGGATTTCCTCAGCAGTTATCAGTCCGCCTGTCCCACTGTTTAGATGACTCCTCTCAAAAAATTCCTAAAATTCCAGGACTGGCAGGGAGCTTGTATCCAGCAGCTTGCTCCCTTATCCCTCACCCTCAGGAGTCAGGCTGGAGAAGACCTTGTATGACCTTTATGGAGTAA